CGGCCAGTGACGTTATCGATTAGTCTTCCGTCGAACCAGTAAGCTAAAGTACTGGTCAGTGTGACTTGGTTGTTTAGTGATCTGTCGCAGTAAATGGGGCGTCGCTCGTTTTTTAAAGGTCAATTATCCCGTCTGTAAATTTTGAGATTACTGTGCAAACGTTCATGTCGCCTTGTTTTCCCATCATTTTCATGAATACTCAATATGTCTGTCTTGACGTTATTTGGCAAGCTATATTTGTAAAAATTTTCCGAAATACTTAGTATATGGTCCTTTATAAGCTCGATGGATGTTTGCTCATGCATGTCTGTGATTCTTACGTAACGATTATACCCCAGTACAAGCCGAATACACTTGTTCTGCATTGTTTGAAGTTTATTGAAATGTCCGTTAGCTATCGAACAGAAGACTGGAGCTCCGTATGTCAAGATGGGCCTGATGATTTGTTTGTACAGGAGGAGTTTATTTTGCGTGGTGACCCCACCGCGCCTATGCAGTAGCGGATATAGGGTTCCATAGCCTTGCTAACGCGGTCCTTTACATGTTGGTAAAAAGTCAGTTTCCTATCCAGTACGAATCCAAGATATTTTAATTTATTTTTGGTTTCCACTGTTTGTCCCTGTATTTTTAAGTTAGTGATGATTCTATCTGTCCACCTGTGTGTCAATATCATACTCTCTGTTTTATTAGGATTGATTTTTATTTTCTTTCGTTTCAGATAAGCAACCAACGTTCGATTGACGTGGATATCCATCCTTCTGTTTGCGATTTCAGCAGAATGCGATGTTTTGTAGACACAAGTGTCGTCGGCGTAAAGTCGCGCTGTCTTTATACCATTTTGACCCATGGGTTGGGTATGTCATGAGTTCATGATGGTATACAGATATGGCGCCAGTACAGAACCCTGGGGTACCCCCGCTGGCACTGTATATGGTCCTTTTTTAGTATTGTTTATTTTAATAAAAAATTGTCGGTTATGTAAGTGTTTGTATTGTTTTTACAAGGAAAACCGGATAGTCATTCACAAACATTTTGTAGATCAATCCGTCGATCCAGACGGTGTTAAACGCCTTCGCAGCATCAAGCGCAACTAGCACTGTTTGTTTTGCATTATTAATCGCTTCTTTTGCGTGGTGAGCAATGTGAATCTCAAATAAAATGAAAGAATCAGGTTGGTTGACTTTTAATAACTATCGCCTTTTGTATTTATTAACCCAAATTCACAAAGATTTACTTATACAAAAACCTGATTATTTAGTTAACAAATTAGAGACATTTTCCAATATTAATGAATTTCCTATGCCGAATAGAATGACCTTGGTGGTACCGAATCGTAACACGGCTCTATTTAAAAGATGTTTTTCGTATGTTGGATGTAAAGAGTACAATAAACTTACAAATTAAATTAAATCATACAACTTGCTTAATTTCAAGAAACGCCTAAAAGAATCTTTGGATGCCGTATTAGCAGAAATTTAGTTTCTGTTGATATGACATCTAGATTATTAAAAATCACCATACGTTATCGTTTTCGATGATGGTGGGAGGGGAGCGACACGGCAAATAATAATAATACCCCTCCCTTTCCCCGGACAAGCTCAGCTTTTGGGGTTAAAATTCACTTGTAAGAGGGTGAATTAGGGAGAGTATTATTATTGTTATAATAAGCAATGGTCATAAAAAAATATATTGTTTAATGCAACGAATTTGGTTTTGAAAATCTGTTTATGTTTTATATTTTTTATACTTTTTTCTCTCTATTATATTATATTTTAGATATTTATAGGTTAAGTTGCAAATCAACACAAGCTGAACTTCACCTTTTCATCTACTTTATATATACTGAAACTTGATCAATAAAGACGATTTATTATTATTAAATTATTTGGAAGAAATACTGGTCCTATTAAATGATTATTCACAATGCCTGCCTAAACATTGACCTTAAAAGTCCTTTGGTGATGAGTCTCTTTGATGAGTCTAATTGACCAGCTAACCCTTGTACTGCTTCCAGGGTTTTCTTCGAATAATTCTAAAATCTTCTCATCATTTGTATCCATTTTTCGACGAACACTATTACCAGAAAGTTGCGGTCGCAAAGTACCCATCTCCCGTAAACGACGATCAATGGAAATAAGAAATACATAATCGTCTGTCTGGTGTATTCCGATTGGGATATTTTTCCGCACAACGCCTTGTACTATTCCCTTGGCATTCACCTGTGATTACCAGAATTACAGGAGAATTATCTTAAACCTTGCTTAGCCTGACCAAACTTACCTAGAATTAAATGCATATCTGCCATTTCTGCAAACGTGTAAACCATTGTAACAGAAAGTTTAATTTTAACACTCTTAAAATGCGCAATAATCGAAAGCTTCCGCATCACTAAATGACGGTTCGCCATAAATCACCCTGTATAGTATTATCAGTAAATGATTCATCAGATTAAAATTCTTTATAATTAATCAGATACGGTAACAGTTTCGTTTGGTAGATTGTTGACTTTCTGGTTTATACAGTTGTTGACCTGCTGACATATTTGTTGAGCACTAAGAGTGAAGACACCATGTAAACAGGAGAAATTAAAAGGCATTTTCCAATCATCGTCATATTCTGTGAATTACTTTCTAAATCTTTCGGTTATTGTTACTTCTTAGATAATTTTATTATATAAACATGAAAAATTATCAATTTAAAAATTGATCGCTTCTAAAGGTTAACGTTTGAACTTGAACGTTTTTTATAAAATATTTAAATAAAAAATTATTAATAGGGGTCTATTCTGTAACAATTCCTTTATATTTAACGGCCTTTAAAAATATTTTCTTCTTTACTTCTGTCATTATTTAAACGGATCTTTAAAATACATTAGCGTACTATCTTAAAGAAATCTGTTTAAATAATGACAGAAGTAAATTAACGAATACAAATATACTTTTAAAGGCCGCCAATATTTTTAAAGGCCGTTAAATATAAAGGAATTTTTACAGAATAGACCCCATTATATTTTAAATACCTATGTATCATATTTCTAGAGAATATTTCAATCAAATTGATGATTTAATTTTTTTACACTACTTCCTCCCAAGCTTCTGAGGTAACATAAAAACTTAATACAAAAAAAAAGAAATCATAAACGATTGTAAGTTTCCGAGAAACTATTTGACGTAAAGTGAAAAGCAGTTAGTAGTTTTAAACTAACATCGGTACATGTGATTAAATGATCGAAGTTTAACATTTTTTAATGCGATTAATTTGTCCATGTGCACAATTATCAGATCATTAACAATAGCTCGCTACCGATTTTGCCTTATATGAATGAATTTTACGCTTTCTTTCCTATCAAAACTACACAAATTATATATTTTCCATACAGCTACATTCCAACAAAGTAGTAATAGCGTCAGTTAAAGATAGAAAATTCGTATTATTAATTGCATTTTCCAGTATCTATAAAAGAAAAATCTGAATTGAAATAATCGAAATGCTTTCACTCAAGAAATTAACCGCTAATGGATAATTTTGTAACTAATGATTTTTTTTAAATGAATTTATTTGTTTCTTCGTGTTGTAATTGGGTATAATTTGTAGATATTTTTGTATGCTAATGACAACGACTCGGATTTTATCATGTCTATTATGATTTCACTGTATTCGACCTCTTTGATTGATAGCCGAGTTTTTGTAAATGCATTATTCCAAAATCTTGTGTATTTATTTTTAAATAGCTCTAGCCTTCGAGCTAAATTAAACATTTAAATAAGTACTTTTATTAGAAACATGGAGAAACACAAAACATTAAATCTTTTATTAAATATTCTATTAAATCTTTTATTAAATTTTCTATTAAATCTTCCATTAAATATTTTATTAAATCCTTTATTAAATCTTCTATTTAATCTTATATTAACTCTTCTATTAAATCCTCTATTATTAAATTTTTCTATTAAATCTTCTAATAAATCTTCTAATAAATCTTCTATTAAATCTTCTATTGAATCTTCTATTAAATCCTTTATTAAATATTCTATTAATAGTCTAATCTTCTATTAAATCTTCTATTAAATCTTCTATTAAATCTTCTATTAAATCTTCTATTAAATCTTCTATTAAATCTTCTATTAAATCTTCTATTAAATCTTCTATTAAATCTTCTATTAAATCTTCTATTAAATCTTCTATTAAATCTTCTATTAAATCTTCTATTAAATCTTCTATTAAATCTTCTATTAAATCTTCTATTAAATCTTCTATTAAATCTTCTATTAAATCTTCTATTAAATCTTCTATTAAATCTTCTATTAAATCTTCTATTAAATCTTCTATTAAATCTTCTATTAAATCTTCTATTAAATCTTCTATTAAATCTTCTATTAAATCTTCTATTAAATCTTCTATTAAATCTTCTATTAAATCTTCTATTAAATCTTCTATTAAATCTTCTATTAAATCTTCTATTAAATCTTTTATTAAATCTTCTATTAAATCTTCTATTAAATCTTCTATTAAATCTTCTATTAAATCTTCTATTAAATCTTCTATTAAATCTTCTATTAAATCTTCTATTAAATCTTCTATTAAATCTTCTATTAAATCTTCTATTAAATCTTCTATTAAATCTTCTATTAAATCTTCTATTAAATCTTCTATTAAATCTTCTATTAAATCTTCTATTAAATCTTCTATTAAATCTTCTATTAAATCTTCTATTAAATCTTCTATTAAATCTTCTATTAAATCTTCTATTAAATCTTCTATTAAATCTTTTATTAAATTTTCTATTAAATCTTCCATTAAATATTTTATTAAATCCTTTATTAAATCTTCTATTTAATCTTATATTAACTCTTCTATTAAATCCTCTATTATTAAATTTTTCTATTAAATCTTCTAATAAATCTTCTAATAAATCTTCTAATAAATCTTCTAATAAATCTTCTATTAAATCTTCTATTGAATCTTCTATTAAATCCTTTATTAAATATTCTATTAATAGTCTAATCTTCTATTAAATCTTCTATTAAATCTTCTATTAAATCTTCTATTAAATCTTCTATTAAATCTTCTATTAAATCTTTTATTAAATCTTTTATTAAATCTTTTATTAAATCTTCTATTAAATCTTCTATTAAATCTTCTATTAAATCTTCTATTAAATCTTCTATTAAATCTTCTATTAAATCTTCTATTAAATCTTCTATTAAATCTTCTATTAAATCTTCTATTAAATCTTCTATTAAATCTTCTATTAAATCTTCTATTAAATCTTCTATTAAATCTTCTATTAAATCTTCTATTAAATCTTCTATTAAATCTTCTATTAAATCTTCTATTAAATCTTCTATTAAATCTTCTATTAAATCTTCTATTAAATCTTCTATTAAATCTTCTATTAAATCTTCTATTAAATCTTCTATTAAATCTTCTATTAAATCTTCTATTAAATCTTCTATTAAATCTTCTATTAAATCTTCTATTAAATCTTCTATTAAATCTTCTATTAAATCTTCTATTAAATCTTCTATTAAATCTTCTATTAAATCTTCTATTAAATCTTCTATTAAATCTTCTATTAAATCTTCTATTAAATCTTCTATTAAATCTTCTATTAAATCTTCTATTAAATCTTCTATTAAATCTTCTATTAAATCTTCTATTAAATCTTCTATTAAATCTTCTATTAAATCTTCTATTAAATCTTCTATTAAATCTTCTATTAAATCTTCTATTAAATCTTCTATTAAATCTTCTATTAAATCTTCTATTAAATCTTCTATTAAATCTTCTATTAAATCTTCTATTAAATCTTCTATTAAATCTTCTATTAAATCTTCTATTAAATCTTCTATTAAATCTTCTATTAAATCTTCTATTAAATCTTCTATTAAATCTTCTATTAAATCTTCTATTAAATCTTCTATTAAATCTTCTATTAAATCTTCTATTAAATCTTCTATTAAATCTTCTATTAAATCTTCTATTAAATCTTCTATTAAATCTTCTATTAAATCTTCTATTAAATCTTCTATTAAATCTTCTATTAAATCTTCTATTAAATCTTCTATTAAATCTTCTATTAAATCTTCTATTAAATCTTCTATTAAATCTTCTATTAAATCTTCTATTAAATCTTCTATTAAATCTTCTATTAAATCTTCTATTAAATCTTCTATTAAATCTTCTATTAAATCTTCTATTAAATCTTCTATTAAATCTTCTATTAAATCTTCTATTAAATCTTCTATTAAATCTTCTATTAAATCTTCTATTAAATCTTCTATTAAATCTTCTATTAAATCTTCTATTAAATCTTCTATTAAATCTTCTATTAAATCTTCTATTAAATCTTCTATTAAATCTTCTATTAAATCTTCTATTAAATCTTCTATTAAATCTTCTATTAAATCTTCTATTAAATCTTCTATTAAATCTTCTATTAAATCTTCTATTAAATCTTCTATTAAATCTTCTATTAAATCTTCTATTAAATCTTCTATTAAATCTTCTATTAAATCTTCTATTAAATCTTCTATTAAATCTTCTATTAAATCTTCTATTAAATCTTCTATTAAATCTTCTATTAAATCTTCTATTAAATCTTCTATTAAATCTTCTATTAAATCTTCTATTAAATCTTCTATTAAATCTTCTATTAAATCTTCTATTAAATCTTCTATTAAATCTTCTATTAAATCTTCTATTAAATCTTCTATTAAATCTTCTATTAAATCTTCTATTAAATCTTCTATTAAATCTTCTATTAAATCTTCTATTAAATCTTCTATTAAATCTTCTATTAAATCTTCTATTAAATCTTCTATTAAATCTTCTATTAAATCTTCTATTAAATCTTCTATTAAATCTTCTATTAAATCTTCTATTAAATCTTCTATTAAATCTTCTATTAAATCTTCTATTAAATCTTCTTATTAAATCTTCTATTAAATCTTCTATTAAATCTTCTATTAAATCTTCTATTAAATCTTCTAATAAATCTTCTATTAAATCTTCTATTAAATCTTCTATTAAATCTTCTATTAAATCTTCTATTAAATCTTCTATTAAATCTTCTATTAAATCTTCTATTAAATCTTCTATTAAATCTTCTATTAAATCTTCTATTAAATCTTCTATTAAATCTTCTATTAAATCTTCTATTAAATCTTCTATTAAATCTTCTATTAAATCTTCTATTAAATCTTCTATTAAATCTTCTATTAAATCTTCTATTAAATCTTCTATTAAATCTTCTATTAAATCTTCTATTAAATCTTCTATTAAATCTTCTATTAAATCTTCTATTAAATCTTCTATTAAATCTTCTATTAAATCTTCTATTAAATCTTCTATTAAATCTTCTATTAAATCTTCTATTAAATCTTCTATTAAATCTTCTATTAAATCTTCTATTAAATCTTCTATTAAATCTTCTATTAAATCTTCTATTAAATCTTCTATTAAATCTTCTATTAAATCTTCTATTAAATCTTCTATTAAATCTTCTATTAAATCTTCTATTAAATCTTCTATTAAATCTTCTATTAAATCTTCTATTAAATCTTCTATTAAATCTTCTATTAAATCTTCTATTAAATCTTCTATTAAATCTTCTATTAAATCTTCTATTAAATCTTCTATTAAATCTTCTATTAAATCTTCTATTAAATCTTCTATTAAATCTTCTATTAAATCTTCTATTAAATCTTCTATTAAATCTTCTATTAAATCTTCTATTAAATCTTCTATTAAATCTTCTATTAAATCTTCTATTAAATCTTCTATTAAATCTTCTATTAAATCTTCTATTAAATCTTCTATTAAATCTTCTATTAAATCTTCTATTAAATCTTCTATTAAATCTTCTATTAAATCTTCTATTAAATCTTTATTAAATCTTCTATTAAATCTTCTATTAAATCTTTTATTAAATCTTCTATTAAATCTTTTATTAAATCTTCTATTAAATCTTCTATTAAAATTAAATCTTCTATTAAATCTTCTATTAAATCTTCTATTAAATCTTCTATTAAATCTTCTATTAAATCTTCTATTAAATCTTCTATTACATCTTCTATTAAATCTTCTATTAAATCTTCTATTAAATCTTCTATTAAATCTTCTATTAAATCTTCTATTAAATCTTCTATTAAATCTTCTATTAAATCTTCTATTAAATCTTCTATTAAATCTTCTATTAAATCTTCTATTAAATCTTCTATTAAATCTTCTATTAAATCTTCTATTAAATCTTCTATTAAATCTTCTATTAAATCTTCTATTAAATCTTCTATTAAATCTTCTATTAAATCTTCTATTAAATCTTCTATTAAATCTTCTATTAAATCTTCTATTAAATCTTCTATTAAATCTTCTATTAAATCTTCTATTAAATCCTCTATTAAATCTTCTATTAAATCTTCTATTAAATCTTCTACCAAATATTCTATTAAATCATCAAAAAAGTTTTTGGGAAAGCCACCCACGCAACCGATAAAAAATAGCCTTTTTTTTCGCTTGTGAGATTGCAAACCCTATTTGGAACAGAAATCGTTGCGATTTTATCGATGTATCATCACAAGAAAAGGTTGGAGTTGTGGTGGAGGGTGGCATTAAGCTCTGAGCCTTTCATAATCCCTCTCAGGGGTTGAAAATTGACAGTTACGCTTTCAACACGTATCTCCCGTTTTCGAGAGTGCTGATCCAGAAAAATAGTCTACCACACTTCAAACCCTTCCCAATCCCCCAAAGAGCTAAAATTTACCCTGATTAAAGGTCTTCGTAAAGGGATGTTTCACTGTATAGAGCATGTTATTATTAGATGTTTTGTATAATACATGCATGGAAAATTTTAGGTAGCCTGATGAAAACTCAATATTGTTTGTCGTGTAATTTCTCTCATATTTTTTTATGAAGATATAAATTTCAGAGTAATGGAGGAAGTAATAAATTCAGAAGGAATGTAAAAATATTGGAATTCCAGAGTAACGGAAGATGATACATATTCCGAATCAATAGAGAGAGACAGGGATTCCACGTATTGCATCTGCTCAGATAAAGGTAAATGTAATGAAGGAGCATTCAGTAATAATATAGTGATATGGAAAATTAATTATGACGACAAAATTTGTCTCAATTACCCTGTGCTCGGCTCCAATACCGAGTTTTGAAGTACTCCTATAACTGCTGGTGTAACGAGTGCAGTAGATTTAAGAAAATATATACATATAAATAATAATAAATATAAATAAAAACAAAATTTGTGAAGCTACATTCTAAAAATAAAAAATAAATATACATGTCTGATTTTGTATGAAATCAAGATGGGTTTTTCTGGCGTAATTTAAAAATGGTATGATTTTTCTTTTTTTAATGAAGTAAACATAGACACACAAACAAATAAAGTTTACAAAATATTTTGCTAACACTTGTATTATACGAAAAGCTTAGGATCATTTAAACAATATTGTTATAAAATAAAAATTTGACTTAAGACAAACATAATTATTTAGACATGTAAAGCTTGATCTTCTTTCATGCAGTTGCATGGTTTCTCATGCTCATCTGGATAGTGTTATCAAATAAAATTTATTTGTTGAAATTCAGCTCAGAAATTTCTTGCCACTGAAGATCCTCATTGTTAAATTGTTTCTCTAAAAGGGCTTTAACAATATTCTATTTTTTCTGCGGAATTAGTATTTCCAAGGGACAGTGGAGATTTTAAACAGCAGTTCTCCTCAGAACAACCTCTTTTAACCATGGAAACATAAGATTTGGATTCATCGTAACTAAATGAAGTACTTGCTTTTGTATTTAACTGTTACTGTAGAGTCACTTCGATTAATAACTTTCTTTAGGTCAGTTTTTTCCACCACGTGAATTACAAATGCAAGTAGCAGGGATTTGCTATAGTCTAGAAGAAAGAAGTGCAGTAATTTAATTTTCAGAAAGTTGTACAAGTTCAAGAGGTAGACATTTTATTTATACCTCATCCTTGAATGCTTATTTGTAGTTTAAATGAAAATTTTAACACATCTGATTGGCCTAATAAAAGTTTTCGTTCAGATTTAATCATGTTTCCATGGTTTTTACTGTAATAAACCTTTTCTTTTGACATATAAGTCAGACTTTATTTATTCATAGGGTATGTATTTTAATTGACTCGAAATTTTGTATTGGTTTATATTATAATTTGACAATTATATAAGAATGGCGAGTGCATTAGAAAATATTGCAAGCACAAGTACGCGTAAACGACTTAGTGGACACACATAATTATCGTACTTAATGTATTTAATAATCTTCGAAACGACTTTGTTTCAGTTTCTGTGGATAAAATAGCCACTAAATGTGAGACCTATACTGAAGTATCTAAGCGGACAGTGTATAACATTATTAAAGAAGATACAGTTACTGGAGAAGTAACACATCCGAAAAAACCCCAGAAAAAAACAAGACCTTTATTGAAACTTGGGTAAAGAATGTAATAAGGCAAATGGTACATTCTTTTTTCTTTCGAAATTAAATTCCTACTATTAAAAAATTACACTCAGAAATAGAAAATATATCATATTTTCATCAGTAAAAATAAATTTTTGTTACAAAAAACGTGACAGAAACAACCTTTTAACAGAGAAAGACGAAATAATTGCGTAAAGACATGATTATTTAAAGAAAATTGCGGACGCAAGGAATCAGAATTAACAGGCATTTTATTTAGATAAAACATGGGTTAATGCTGGACATACAGTAACAAAAAATTAGCAATCTGCCTCCATCAAAACTAAAAAAGAAGACTTTATGGAAGGAGTCTCTTGTGGAATAAAAAATCCAAGAAGAAATGGAAATCGTCTAATAATAACTCACTATTGATAATTATTGGGTTTGGAGACAGAAAGAGATATCTGCAAGAAGTTTGTGATTTGTTTAATGAAACATTTCCTTACAAGATTTCCCCGATTTCTAAATCTACAGTATCCAGAAATGAGCAATTCAATGAAACAGGAAATGTGAAAAACAATCGCAGATCTGGACAGAAGAGGACAGTCACTGATGTAGAAAATGCACTTAATGTGGTTCTAAGTGTACAGGAAGAAACAAAAACTTCCAAAGCTTGCGTTAGACAATAATATGAGCTAGTGATTTGTAAGGAGGATTCTCAAAGTCAATAAATTTCATCCCTATAAAGTGCAGTTACACCAAAAATTGAAAATGGCCCAGATAGGCGAATGCAATTGTGTCAGGAAATTATGGATATCATTAATGTTATTAATAATATGTTGATGAGCATTGTTTTTTCCGACGAATCAACATTTTGCCTCAGTGGAATTGTAAATAAACATAATTGCCGGTATTGGTCTGATCATAACCCTCTCGGAATGGAAGAAGGTCACACCCAATATCCACAAAAGTTAAATGTTTTACCTGGTATAGTTTGATGATAAATTATTGGACCATTCTTCATAAGAGGAACTCTGAACAATGGTCGTTACTTGCAACTTCTTCAAGAGCAGAAAGTTCCAGAGTTAGTTCGTTTATTTCCAAATCATAGAAATCAATTAGACCTTTCTGATGCAATTTGGTTCCAGCAAGATGGTGCTCGATACTAGATGCTAGGGGTGAGGCAGTACCTGAACACAATATTTCCGCAGATGATTGGATCAAAGAAGACATATTGAGTGGCCAGTACGGTCACCGGATAGCGTACTGCCAAATAATATTACGTTTCAAATACATAATCAAACATTTAGCTCTGAGTCGTAATATGTTTTGGCGACTGTTGCGCAAAAACAACACGAACAAAACATATTCGCATCCAGCGCCGCCGCCTTAGTGATTCAAACGGTCTAAGCTCAGATGCGTCATATTATTCGGAGAATAATTTGTGCGCCATATTGTTGTAAATTGCCAAAACATATTCCACGTTTGAGTTTTAGGTTTTAGTTCAGTGTGCCGTGCACTTGAAGGTTGTTTTGAGCTGTCGGTAATTTGATGTGTTTTATCAAATCAACTTCGTTCAGCTTTTTTGTCAGAAAGTTTCAGTAACTATGTATAATCAAACAACAATAAAGCCGAAAATTCGCCACAACTTGTCTCAGAATATTTCTCTGAATAGGATTAATGCCAAAAAATATTAACCAAAAATATATACTAAAAGAGCATGTACTTGTACTTATCCAAATTTGGAAAGTAGCTAGTAAATAAATCTGAATTATCATTATATTTGTCCTAATGGTACACACTTATGCTCCCCCTCTCCCTAATTTCATAATAATCACTTGATAGCCTTGTAGGAATAAAAATTGCTCTGAATCGTAATATGTTTTGACATAGCAAGGGTATGTGCAATTCGTGAAAACACAAGCCAAAATATATTAAGCATCAGAGTGCAGCGATCTGAAACGTAATATCATTTGGCAATATGCCACCGGATATACCCACTGGATGTTTTCTTTGGGGACATTCGGTGGAAGAATTGTAAGAAAAAATAAGAATTGCTGTTGAAGAAATAACACCTGAAGTTTATCAAAATGTTAAGATCATATGTTGATATGCTAGGTTTTCCGCCAGTTGGTGATTTTCACTTCGAACGCTTACCTTAAAACAGGCCTGCACAACTGAGATTTTCAAAGGGCCAATTCAAAAAAACCGTACGAAGGCCACGGAGATAATTTTTTTTGGCGGCGAGTGCAGGCGAAGGACTTTTGCAGGTCCACCGCTCAAATAGGTTGATCTTGAGGCTCAAAAATTCATTTATTGCTTATTTTTAAAAGAGGCTTTTTTAAATAAAATAAAATAAATACCTATTATTAATTAAGTTTTATTTTAAATACATCAAAGTTTTATTCAGTAAATTTTTTTCGTGTTTTACCACATATGAGGAGTAACTTTTTAAAACGCATTATGTTCATAAAAAAAATTTTCAGGAACAACAGAAAACGAATATTTTATATGTGTTTCGATGTGAACTTCAAATTTTGCATTCAAATTACATAGGGATATTACGATATTTGATTCATTCTGACTTTACAAAAGTATAAGTGCAATTAAATCCAAAATCATAAAAAAGAGAATTGTCTTCAGATGGACATAATGCGTTTTGAAAATTTACTCCTCATACAGTGAGCATCATAAGTCTTACCCCCCCCTATCTAACTCGTTACTGGAGTCTTGTTAGGAAAATCGCCGAGACACGTCGATTTTTGATTTCTACAATGTACATTTTTGTATGAATAGTTTACCATTAATTTCATCCCTTACTGGAGGGGAGCAACCCTTTCAAAAAATTTAAATGGCATGGGGTGGTGATTGATAACTCATTTGAAAGGGGGTTTTCATTCTCTATTCAACCGTGCAAAAAAATTTGAAATTTGCTTCAATAATTCTCGATTAATTATTGTTTCAGAATAACGGAAATTAACGTAACGCACTCGTCCTTAGAATTAAAATTCGGCCCTGCATGATATCGGTTTTGGTTCAGACGTGAAGTAATACATTTTGCCATTAGATAAGGTAACTGTTAGTTTAGTTGCTTTCCTATTTGTGATGTTCTGTTATTTTTAAACATTAATAAATCAACACGTAATGAATAGAGAATAAAACCCCCTTTCAAATGAGCTATCATTCACCACCCCATGCCATTTAAATTTTTCAACAGGGTTGCTCCCCTTCAGTAAGGAATGAAGTTAAGGGTAAACTATTCATACATAAATGTACATTATAGAAATCAAAAATCGACGTGTCTCGGTGATTTTCCTAACAAGACTCCAGTAACGAGTTAGTTAGGGGGGGTAAGACTTATGATGCTCACTGTATATGATTTGATATCTATTAAGGCATTTAATAAATGCAATTTTGTTACTGAAAAATCTAAAGTTTGATGTAGGCGGGCCAAATTGGTAAAGGGACAAAGGACCAAGAAAACGACAATGGCGGGCCACAAGCGGCCTGCGGGCCCTATGTTGTGCAGGCCTGCTTTAAAAGATTTGTGTACTTCGATTGATGTAAAGCAATTATTATTTTTATTAAATAAATGATAACTTTCTATTTTATTATGAATTCAGAGATCCTCAAACCTTACATTGATGGATTCAGAAAAAAATAATATAGGGTGATTCATTTAAAATTTGATCCGGTGACGTTATATCGTGATAAATATGACAGATGATGAAAATCCCCAAGCATCAATAAATAGTCCATAAAATAAACGAAAAACTTTATTCGAGTTAATTTTTAATACAATCCATAATTGAGCCACAAATCGGGTGTTTCTAAAATTGGGCTCAACCCTGTATATTTTAATAACAATTGCACATATTATACAGAGTTACCCGACGAAAACCTACCATATCCATTGTGAGAAACTGCGTCATAATTTTGCATAAACGTTAATTTTTGATTAGAATGACGTCTTTCCATCATACTGTCATACATACGTCATTCCCCTACCCTCCGCCACTCTAACCAATAGAATTTAAATAGAGAAATCATTGAGAAGGTAATTTTTTAGAGAACTCATCAATATGACTATTCATTCCGTTGCTTGATTCTAGCGTCCTATAGCGGGATACAAAGTATTTTAAAGTATAATACTTTTCATTTAGTAGCTATTTTTATTAATAATTTGATGTAGAAGATAACAAAACACAATTAAATGAAATATAAACTTAAATAACAGGGTTCGGAGGATATATATCAAGTGATATATATCATGATATATGTCACGATATATATCATGATATTTATACCTTAATATATATCCCGATATATTTGATAATTTTATTTATTAAATTAAAAATGTTTTCCACCATTTTAAACATTCAAAAATGACAATACGCCCCTGTAGAAAAGTATAATAACTGTAGCGATTTATTCGTCTGTCATTTTGTCTGTCACTGGCAAGAATCGCCGCGTCAACTTTGGGATTTCCAACTTCGCCACGATTTGCTTTGTTTTTGCTGTTGTAAGTGTATGAATCAAAATATAGACAAAAAGAAAACCAACTTTGACTGGGCATGGGAAACAGCCATATTTGAAGATTCTAAAGTTATTGTCACTAATAGGAATCACATTATTAATATTAATAATTCATCAGATGCATCAGATGAGGATATACCAACATCAATGTTAACAAAATAATGTTAAAATCTGTTTGTTTTAATTTTTTTTCTTTTTAATCAGAGTTATAAATGTTTCGTTGTTTAGAATTTAGAATATATGTTTTTAATTATGTGTTTGTGTTAAAATATTAATGTTCAAATCCGATTATTTTAATACTTTTGTTTTTTCCTTTTAATTTGAATTAGAATAAACGGTTTTGTTGTTTAGAATATAGGTTTTAGTTAAAATTTAAAATATAGTTTGTGCAAGAAAGAATACCGTTTTTTAATTAAATAATTAAATTTTAAAAATGATATATATCATGTGATATGATATTTATATAAATAATTGTTTAATATTTAAATTTGTGTCATTGACAATTAATAAAAGTTATATGGATTTTTTTTTGTCTGACAAATAAAAATTTACGTTTTTTAAATAGAACACCCTATATTTTATTTTTATATACTGTATTTAATCCTAGAATGTTTTTAAAAAATATTACATGTTGCCAAACAATTATTTTTTTTTAAATTAGAGAATGATGCACACCCCAAATAAAATTATCATAGTTTAGGTAAGTTTACATTAACTTCAAAATTGTTGAATATACAGACTTATAAAATACTAAGCTAACGAATAGAGGTGATACAACTGGTTTATTCTATACAGAGTAATTTAAATATGGCTAATTTTAAGTTCAATTTACTCAATTTTTTCAAACGCAACACACTGTATAATTAAAAATATGTTATCTTGGCATAAAATTCCCTATAAATTTGCCTATGTAACAATACCAATATATCCCATCAGTGCATAATTGATCGATTGCTGCTGTTTTATTATTAGAAATACGAAGAAATGTTTATTATAAAAGTTGTATGACCATATTTAACAAATATTCTTAAATAAACGAGGTGCTGACCAAATCCATACTTTTTTAAAGCAAAACACTCTGCAGTTAGTAATACATATTTGATTGTTTTTACATCGTCAAACAATTTTAATTGACGTCATTCTTTTGCTATGTATCAAAACGTGTGGTTACGATTTTCTTAATTTTTAAATGGAATACCCTGTATTAATTAATTGCTTATATGATATATAGGGTATTCCATTTAAAAAATAAGAAAAGCGTTACCCCTCATTTTGTAACACCCTATATACCACATAGCAAATAAATTAAGTCTATTAAAGTTGTTTGACAATGTGAAAACAATTAAATATAAAAATGTATAAGTTTGTTCAGCCCTTTGTTTATGGACCATCCTGTATATTTAAGAGCATTTATTAAATATGATCATACAACTTTTATAATAATTTGTTTTTTCTATTTCCAATAATAAAACAGCACTATTGGGACATGTTGGTATCGTTGGATAGGTAAATTTATAAGAAATTTTATGCGAACATAATATACAGTGTGTTGCATTTGACAAAATTAAAAAGTAAATTGAACTTAAAAGGCACCATATTTAAGACATGTTTTAAAACACTCTGTATAAAATAAATCATTATGTCACCTCGGAAATGGAAAGGTCTACAAAGATCAACCAGAAGTCCCTTTTTGTGACAAATGGCGTGAGAAATATTTATTAATTTTAAATTTTATGAAATATAGGGTGTTCAAAAAGTTTTGAATAAAATTGTTTCTTTAGCCCTTCATTCTACATTCTATGGTAATTTATCGAAATAGTGTGTTAACTAATAATAACGATTACCTATCATATACATATTTTTAAGTTAAAGTCTTTTCTGTAAGGAAAGATATTTAGAAAATTTGTATTTAATAAAAATTCACTTATCTCCCTGTAGAATGAAAACGGGGACGTTTCTAGGAAAATTATATTTAGCTTTTCTTTATAATTGATTAAGATCTACAAATCTCCAAAATTACGGTACTTTATTCTGAAACACCCTGTATAAATATATTAAAAATTAAAACTGCATTATAAAACTCATTCTTTTTTCTGGAGATACACATATTATGAAGACGTTGCATTGGTACCATAATATTCTAAGATAACACGCTGCGCATTCACCAATAATGAGAAAAGTACGCGCTTGTTCGGACCACCCTGTATATATAATAACAGGGTATTAAATTAAATGTAATTTTGACTAATTTACTTACCTACTTATCAATCAATCTATTAAAACTTTATTTACGAAATCTTTATGAACATATATTCCGTGTAATTAATCAAATACCTGATGTTACTTTTTCTATAAGTACTGAAAAATTTTTCTACAAATCTAAAAATCAGGAAACGTTGGCTAACCTCGAAATTTATTCTAAATTTATTACCTTTCTAGGTCGTTTTCTACAAACAAAACTTTATACTCCACAAACTGCAGAAATAATGAATTCAAGAGGTCAAAAAATCGACCATAAACTATTCATAGACATGTAATTAGGTAAAATATATTGAGCACAAATAAATACGTTTTATGATCAAAAATTTTATATTATTAAATTGGTTTTCATCAACCAACAGTTAATTTATTACCGTTATTTGATTATAATTTCCGGCGACCTCTATTCATTTCGAATTAACTTCTTTAGTTATCAGCAATTTTAAATTGGGAAATAAAAAATACATGTGTGTATTTGTGCGGGAATTAAATATGCGATGGACCAGTGTTGACCTTGCGCCAAATATGTGACAAATGCATTTTGTGAATTATTAAAAAAAATTGTATGAATTGATGGAATTAGTATGCAAAATCTTATTCAACGTTTCTTACCTTTCAGAACGAAAGTATTGTTATTGTCATGTGGGCAGTATTAAATCGATTTCGATTCACACAAAGACAGTCGATGTTACCGGAGCGCAGATTCAACGATTACTGACTAAACTGGCTCTTCGGTTGCTCTTGAAAACGGGGACCACATTCATTTGCACCTGTATCAAACTAAATGTATTCTACATCCCACTCTTCGTCTTTCTCTTTTCTTTCCCGGAGTCCGGAGTAGAAAATAGCTACGTCGATTTCTGACTGGTGCCTCTTTAGCGATGAGATTCGCAGATTTTCAAGATTTCATTACACCGAATTCGCTGTATTGTCCTTTACATAAAGATTTCGTGAACTAATTTAAAAAAAAAATTGTTTGCTTTATCGGGTTTCTCTCCGCGGGTTTCCGGTTGATAATTTTGTAGTTGGAAAATGCAATTGATTTTTAGGTATGAATCGTTGACGCCTTAAATGAATATACCCCATAAATTTCATTTAATTTCATCAGTAATTTATTTGTTTGTACTCATACCAATTATAAATTATTTGGCCAAGTGCAAGTACCTATTTGCTATTTGCGCAATAGTGTTCCGTAGCGTAGTTGTTTTTAAAATAAGAATAGTCGGTTCCAAACCTTTGTGAACCTTATCAAGTTATAAAAGTAATTATAAAAAACCGAATTCAAAATCGTGCAGATGCCCTCAAAAATTGATATTTTTGATTTTCTCATAGATCATCAGATCCTGACAAATTGTATATGAGACCAACCATGAGGTACCCACCCATACAGCACACATTATTTCAGAAATGTTTCAGAAATATTTCAAACGTTTCAAACATAGGTATAACATTTCAAGCACACATTTCTGAAATATTTTAGTTAAATATTTCACTGAATATGTTTCTGAAACATCGTATACATGTTACACAAAAGGTTTCTAAACGTGTTATGTTATAAAAGGCCAACACTTAATGAAGAATTTTGATTTGTAAGAAAAAGAAGAAGATGGGATATGTAGTTATTTTATTTCTTGTCCAGCCAAAGACAACCCTATATTCTAAATAATTATAGATTGGAGTTGTCGGTTTTTGCCATTTCCTTTTTTTGTTATTTATGCTTTGTGCTGTTGTTATATGGGAAGCAGAATATGTCTTTATTAGAAATTGAGGTGAGTCATACACTAGTTTTATTTATTAGCTCTGCAGCCGATTGAAAAGCGGAGCTTCATGTTTTATTTAGGCATGAGTATTTATATAAATCCTTTTTAATTATCTATAATTTGTTTCAGATTAGACATTCGTGAAAATTAAGCAATTTGTCAGCTTTGGGGATGTGCCTGTAAAAGTACTATCCAAGTTATTCAACATTTCCAGAATAAAGTATTAAAGAACATAGTTGATGCACCCTGGTATATACTGCCACAATACTGATCTTCATAGGGACCACGACTGCTCCAAAATGGAAACCTTGAGATTATCCAGCTCAACAATTCCAATCTAATAAGAAGCTCTAGAGAACCAAGGCTTTTGAGTTAGTTCAGTGATGTTACAGCAGATTATAGTGCAGTTAAGTGTTATACGTTAACGGTAGTGTAATGTAAATAATTAGACTTTAAGGTATACTAGTGAGTAAAATATTAGTTTATGAAGTTTTTCGTCCCTTGATAAGTTAGATTAGAATAAAATTGCTAATTGATCTTAATGATCAGATTGTAATAATAATAAATTTTTCTTCATTTGGAGCATTTAAAAAAAAACTGTTTGTTTCAGATAAGTGCTTTTAAAGGAATTTGTGGAAATTAAGCGATTTGCTTTTATATTTTATGAAAATTATTCATTTGTTTGTTTAGGAATCAATGTTTGAGTTTTGTGTATTTTAAATAAACATGTATATTTATAAATGTCTTTTTTTACTCTAATAATATTTTAGAAAAAAAAAAGCTAGAATAGATTTCTGAAATTTTACTATTTAATATTTCTAAAAGATTTAAAATTTTTATTTCAGAAATATTACTGTGAAATATTATTTTTAGAGGACATTTTTACGTTTCAGGCACATTTCAGAAATGTTTCTGGGATGTTTCTTAGTATTAATACAAAATTACAAATGTTTCAATGTAATATTTCAACAATGTTATATTGAAACATTTGCAATGATGTATAAATATTACGAAACAGTGTTAATATTTATTTCGAATTCTTTGTCCTTGGGTTCTTGGTATTTTGATTTCTTTTCTGATGTCCATTCTGTGTTTTCGTTTTTATGTCGTTCGAATTCTTTGTCCGCAGGTTCTTGGTATTTTGCTTTCTTTTCTTACAAAAGTCTATCGTCTTGCGTCAATTTCTCTTCTTGGTCTTTTCTTCACAAATTCTCATAGCCGATTTCTCAATTGAAATCTTTTTCTACCCGTACGTTCCACTCCCCCGTTGCATTGCCTATAGACTTTAGTTTCATATCTCAAAAGCACTGCAAGTACTCTTACGAGGGGAAATACTTGTCTCTTAGTGTTTATAATCCTGTCTTCAAAAAGTAGTTGGCACCTCTAAGGAGCCAGGTATCTGAGTTTTTGGTTTATGAAAAACTGTCTAAGAACCGTTCTTTTAATGCTGATTCAAGAGCCCATTCATGATTTTCATTTTCATGTCGTTCGATTTTTTGTTCGTCTGTTCTTGGTATTTTAATTTCTTTTCTGGTGATTTTCCCGTCTATTCTTGGTATTTGTTTTTATTTTCTGGTATCCATTCAGCGTTTTCTTCATTATGTCGTTCGAATTCTTTGTCTGTTTGCACTTGGTATTTTGCTTTCTTTTCTGGTGTCCATTTAGTATTTTCGGTTTCATGTCGTTCGAATTCTTTGTCCTTGGGTTCTTGGTATTTTAATTTCTTTTCTGGTATCCATTCTGTGTTTTTGTTTTCATGTCCTTCGAATTCTTTGTCTGCAGGTTCTTGGTATTTTGCTTTATTTTCTTACAAAAATCTATCGTCTTGAGTCAATTTCTGTTCATGGTCTTTTCTTCACAAATTCCTATAGCCGATTTTTCAATTGAAACCTTTTTCTACCCTTGCGTCCCAATCCCCCGTTGCATTGCCTATAGACTTTAGTTTCATATCTCAAAAACACTGCAAGTACTCTTACGAGTGGAAATACTTGTCTCTTGGTGTTTGTAATCCTGCCTTGAAAAAGTAGTTGGCACCTCTAAGGAGCCAGGTATCTGAGTTTTTGTTTTATGAAAAACTGTCTAAGAGCCGTTCTTTTAATGTTGATTCAAGTGCCCATTCAGGGTTTTCATACACACATTTTCATGTCGTTCGATTTTTTTGTTCGTCTGTCCTTGGTATTTTGTTTTTATTTTCTGGTGATTTGCCAGACTGTTCTTGTTATTTGTTTTTATTTTCTAGTATTCATTTAGCGTTTCCTTCTTTATGTCGTTCGAATTTTTTGTCTGCTGCACTTGGTAGTTTGCTTTCTTTTTTGGTGTCCATTTAATATTTTCGGTTTCTTGTCGTTCGAATTCTTTGTCTTTGGGTTCTTTCTATTTGGATTTATTTTCTGGTATCCATTCTATGATTTTGTTTTCATGTTGTTCGAATTTTTTTTCCCATATATTAATGTAATTTTTCTAAATTTTGGTATCCGCCTGGTGTAATTTTTTTCTTATTCATTTTCGCCAATTGAGAACGCAACAGCATACGATCTTCTAGTGACGAAGTTGGGATAGATAGCTGCAAACAAGAAGTAAGTCTTTTCTTGAACAACTGGTTTTACTACAAAAGCTGGCGACTCAGCCGGTCTTGATGCTCAAAAATGTTATGAATCAACATAAGGTAGTTAACGAAACTATTGAATTTGATGCATCCACACCGAAATTCTGTGTCTGTTCCCTTAGCTGTAGTGGCCGTATCGACTTTAAAAACTGTACTAGGCAACATCGTAGTAGACGAATATTCGATCACAATGGCACCTAGGAATTATTCTGCGGAATCATTGGGAGATACGGATGAGAATGTTTCTATTATTATTTGTACCATAATCTTGGATTGGTTTATTCCAAATACTTGTATAGGAAACTACCAAAACTTCCTCATATTATGTCGACATATCAAAATACCCCAGTCATTTCTTTTCAGAGATAATTTATAGCTGGTCGCTTTTTTACTACAAGAAAAAGTTTTGTTATTTATTATTGTATAAGACAATTCTTCAGGTGTCATGTATATGATTTCGTTAAAATGGACCGTAATGAATAAATTTAAAAGAAAAAGTGTAGGGCAACAAGTGATGGCGAGGCGATAGAGGTTGGTGAGAACCTTAAGTCAGGCGAGGCATTAGGTAATGACACCTGCTTGGTGGGTCAAGGCGGCGATTTTGATCTCTAAGATTATAGGCGAGGCAAATATGGGCGACCTAGGCTTTGAAGGAGTTCGAGGTTACTCAATAAACAAGAAATAGTAAAAAGGCGAACATTATAAAGCCGTTGGTCAAGGCAGGTGTGGTTTGCGATGAGCTCTCGAACTTAGGACGCAATGCTATCTTGAATTATGTGGTAGTCCGATAGTTCATATATTTTTAAAATATTGGATTTGTATGTTAAATTGATTTTAACATGTGCAAAAGTTTTAGAAAGTTAAAATCTTATTATGGGCAAGTAGGGTTGCCATCTGACCTTTTTTGAAGCAAAATGCCCTTTAAAACTTAATTTTTTTTACGGCAAATGTCTTTTTTTACAGCACATATCTTTGGAAAAATGTCTTTTTTTACAGCACATATCTTTTAAAGGGACATGGTTTGTACAAAAATATATAAGCTGAGGAACTTTTTTTTAGAAGCTCGGTAGAATGACGAGGAGGATTTTTTTTTTTAACAAGCTCGGTGATTTTTTTTTAGAAGTTCAGTAGAAGGATGAGGACTTTTTGTATACCGGAGCCCCTGTTAGCATCGTAGTACTGTAGTCCTTTATTCACTTTTCAAAAAGGTGGCAACCCTAGTTATGAATAATTAATAAAGTTGTTTCAAGTCAACGTCACGTTTATTTTTTCTACTCTATCCTTTTACTTTGCTAAAACAGTATTCTCCGAAGCTGACTGAGTTTGTGCTACTATTATTATTTGGAGAATAACACTATAATATTAATAAGTATTTAAAATTTGAATGTATTTTTATTTGAGAAAAAGGTCATATCTCAAAAACTGGCCAAGTTGTTACAATAAGAGATTTTGGCCACAAAGTCTAAATATACGACATACTCAATTTAACCAAACGATAGCTGTAGATCTGAAACACTCGATATAAATCGTTTAATCTTTACTAATAGAATTATTATAGGTACGTGTTCATCACCGTTGATC